TAAAGAAAAATTAACAACGAAAAAATAATAATAACAAAGAAAAAAATAACAACAAAAAATAAATAAATAACAAAGGAAAAAGTAACAACGAAAAATAAAAAATAAAAAAACAAGTACAGTTTCCAACCTACCGGTTTGATAAAGAGAACTGGTTACCAAACTGGTAAGGACTGTGCTGAATTGGTTGGATCTGGGGGGGCATGTGGCCAGATTCTAATCTAAAACTGTTAGTACGATTTTCGATCCGAATCGATTCCAATCCAAATGATTTTTCACACACTTATTTCTTTCACGTGCAGGAATGCATCATATTCTCATAGATTTATATATTTACAAACATATTATATTATATGGCACGGTACGTCGATATGTCCGAGTGGTTAAGGAGACAGACTTGAAATCTGTTGGGCTACGCCCGCGCATGTTCGAACCCTGCTGTCGACGCCCAGTCCCTTCGAATTTTTCTATTATGAACGTCAAACAAGTAAGGGAATACATAGTCCCCTTTAACTTAAAAAGTTCGCAAAATAAGAATTGAATACAAAGTCCAAAAATTTTAGTGAGTTGTGAAGATTTTCGTTTCTAAAAATAAGAACACAAAAAATTTAGTGGGTTGAAGATTTTCATTAGAAATTTCAAGAAAATTTAGTGGGTTGAAATTTTTATTGCTAAAAATCTTGGTAATAGTTGTTTAGTTGAAGGGGATTCCATGTGATTAGATTAGATAGTGTAATGATTAGATTAGATGGTGTAATAAATTGCAGAGAGTTCTTAAAAAACGTTGTTCTTTATTATGGATCTTATAGCTACTTTTTCGGTCTCCTGTTCTTTTATCATGGAGAGAAATGCTTTAGCTAAAGGTTGAACTCTTTTACATTCTCTAATTTCTTATTTTATCATGGAGCGAATACTGTAGCTGTTGTTTTAGCTAAAGGTGGAACTCTTTTATCATCTCTAATTATTTCTAATGATGTAATGTTCTTTTTGTAGTTATCAATGAAAATAGAAATATTTGTCAAAAAAAATAATTCAAAAAATTTAAATGTATTTGAGGGACACCTCTTTTCTTCTTTTGTTCTTTTTTTTAGTATTAATAGGATGAGACTATTTGTTTCAAATATAAGGAGGTCACACTCATTCTTGATCGTCAAAATCGACTAAAAGTGTGCCATTGATTATGCGCAATGCTCATTAAATATATGATTGCGACTTTCTTGTATCAATAATAAATAGTCTTTTAATATATACTCCCCAATCACAGTCTCATAAAGTAGATCTTAAAATTTCAAACGAAAAAAATTTCTGAAAGTTCTAGATGGAATAAACGAAAATATTTCCTCTCCAGTGACCTAAAACCCAGGGAGTTGAATTGGGAATCATCTATTGAACAAGAATCCTCCCAAGACTAGGTCGGTTCTCAGGAAGTTTCAGAACTAGCCACATCCAAGGCTAAAGTCTCTCTTTTTGCTTTTTTATTAATTATTCAAAATTTCTTCAATCATAAGAATCCTACAGGTGGTTCCTAAAAATGAGTCTCACACATTTTTCTTCTTTATTTCCATATCAGTCATCTGGACAATCCAAATCAAGATCAATGGCTAGATGATCCAACCACCCGAACCTTGTTTTGAAACATTGGTCTCCCCTCCCCCAACCCCCACCCCCACCAACCGTGTTTTGAAACATTGGTTCTCCCCTCCCCCAACCCCCACCCCCACGTTCCAGCCCCACGCCCCAAAAAACCTAATATATATATATAGAAAAGAAAAACATTAAAAATGCCTATAGACGAGATTTTACAGTGTTTCGCCACCACCACGGACTTGCTATGTCCACGATGGTTTATTGAACAGACCCGCAACGGCGCGTCATCTGTTGCGGTTCCGCATGATTTTTTACCGTCACGGACTTAATATGTCTGTGATGGTACTGCCACGGACATGATGAAGATCTGACGGTTGAGATTTCAGCTATGTTATTATTCATTATAGCTGCTCAGTTATTAAGGCCATTTGTTTGATCCAAAATTTGAAATATACATTATTTTCATTCTAATGAACAATTACAAAAAAGAAAATTTTGAAAATGAAACCTATAAAGTATTTTTTTAGCCCAATTAACATAGGCCGTCCATTTTGATAAGATGCTTAGATCTAGGCCCTAAAAGGATTTTTTCTTTTCCAAATTTTTTAGATGGCTTTATTATCATTAGATGATCTGTGTTACGAAATAAAAAAATGATTTTGAGTTTGTAAAAGCTAAGATCTTAAAATTTACCAATTTGATGGTTTGGATTCGTTGTTAGAGGAGACTTATTTTGAAGATATAGATATCTAAGGTATATATAAATAGGGGAATGATTTTATGAAATGGTTGTATACTAGTATAATGCAACCATCTTCAAAAAACATGTTAAAGACATTTGTTTCACACGAATTTTTAAATGTATACTCTTTTCACTATGAGAACAATCACAAAAAGTAAAATTTTGAAAAAATGCTCTAGAAAGTTTCATTCTAGCCCTAATATAAGCCGTCCATTTTACTAAGATGGTTAGATATAGGCTTCAAAAGGATTTTATTCCCAAAATTTTTATATAGCATTATCATCATTAGATTAACAATTCTAAAAAAGAAAAAAGTGATTTTGAATTTGTTAAGGCCTAGAACTTGAAATTCACCAAATGGAGGGTCGAAATTCATTGTTGGGTGAGTACTAATTTTGACCATATCTAGGATGCAAATTGAAAAAAAAAAATTCGTATGATTGATTATGAAGATGAAGAGAATGCATGTGCAAAATTTGGGACCATACAAATGCCAAAAATATGGTTTTCTAAAGGTGTGGTTGCATTCATTACATTAAATCATTTCTCATATATATGAGCAATGATTTCATGAAACGGTTGTATAGTAATATAATGCAACAATCTTCAAAAACCATGTTATAACCATTTGTTTGATCCAAATTTTGAAGTATACACTCTTTTCATTCTAATGAACAATCACAACAAAGAAAATTTTGAAAAAACAACCTATAAAGTACTTATTTGGTCCAATAAACATAGACCGTTCATTTTGGTGAGATGCTTAGATCTAGACCTTAGAAGGATTTCTTTCATTTCGAAGTTTTTTTTATGGCTTTATTATTATTAGATGAACAATATGAAAAAAAAAAAATATTTTTTAATTTATAAAGGCTAAGATCTTGGAATTCACCAAATGAATGGTCTAGATTCGTTTTTGGATGGGACTCATATTGACCATATCTAAAGTTCAAATTGCATTTTTTTTTTTTGGATTGATTATTGAGATGAAGAGAGTGTGTGTGCAAAATTTTGGATTATACAAATACCACAAACATGGTTTTCTAGAAGTGTTGTTGCATCATACTAAGATATAACCATTGCATGATATCACTGCTATATCTATAGGAAAAGGTTTCTATGAGCCAATGGGCTCAAGAGAAAAAGTGAGCCCAATGGCTCTGATTGAATCTGGACCGATCTAACGATTATGGATGCCCGATAGTATTTGAATTTTAAATTTTTTTCTACAAATTCAAATCTCTTGAAATTTTATACATGTGTTGATAAAAAATAGGTGAATATTCAAAAAATATTAAAAAAATATTTTAAATGAAAAAAATGACCAATATACCCCCATAAATTTTCAAGGGTATTTTGATCATTTTTAATTTTACGGTTTATTTTTTTATATTTTTATTAAGTGCGATTTGATGAGAAGAATATTCACCTAAAATTTCAAGTGATTTTGGATTTATAGAAAAAAAAATTTAAAATTCAAATACTCTCGATCATCAAATCGGTTTCAATTCAATCTGGACCATTGGGCTTATACTATTATGTGAGCTAGTAAGCTCACCCCAGCATCTTCCTATATATATATATATATATATATATATATCACCATTCTTTAGTAGAAGATCCCTCCAAAAGGCATCTTAGCAATTACGATTTAGGGCACCCATTGTCCAATCCCTTATATCCTAACTAAAACTACATTGGAAAAACTTATCTAAATAAACTTAACTGCAATAATTAACAGTTTATCCTTCTACAACTATTCTTGGTCATTTGTATTTTAATGGGTGTTTTGAAATTAAATAAACTTTAATATGGCAAAAGTAAATAATTGATATCTTTGAGCATTTTGATAAATTTCCAAATTATATTTCAAGAATAAAAGGGAAAGGGCAAAGAAAGGTGAGATCAATCCATAAAATAACAAACAGTGCACGTTACTCAGCCACAGCCATGCGCCCCAAGCCTCATACCACCTTAGATCCTGAACCTCAATTTTATTAGCCTATCATCCCTTATCTATCATGAATATCAGATGTGCTGAGTTGATTTTTATTAAGGGAATGCATGCATTCTAAGATCCACAGGATCACATTATCACTTGCTTATCATGAATATCAGATGTGCTAGGTTGATTTTTATTAAGGGAATGCATGCATACCAAGATCCACAGGGTTGGTAAGTAGATATTTTTCAGGGAAATGCATGCATATTATGATCCACATGCCAGGTAAAACTAGTGATAGAAAAATCGCCTGTCCAACTCGGACTCACACCAGTCTGACCTGATCAGAAGTAGCAGGCAATTCTGGGCCGAAAACCCAAATTGCCAATCTCCCAGTATTTTATGTTAACTTTCTTCATCAAACCCACCCGTCTGATTTGACTGGGTGTCTCGAACTCAGGACTGGCAAGTCTGAGCCCAGATCTGGAATATTTTGAACACTGTGACAGTACGATATAAAGTGATGTCATGGTCCAATCAACCAAAGGAAAGGACATTACAGAATGGGGATTGCCTCTCGATGATCCACGGAACAAGCTCAAAAACTCCCAATCACAAAACCAAAGGAGCCCTCATTATGAAACTTTCTTAGTATCTATCAACGAATGGCATGGGGATGTCAAATCAAATATGATCAGACAAATAGAAATCAAGACCATAATAAATAGATTGTAAGAATAAGAATGGAGTTGAATGGCATAAAATCTGCTAAATTCACTGAATATTCATGGAAGGGATACAACAGAGTTTACATGGAGATTGCCACATAAAAATGCGCATTTTTAGATATTGAATTCTGGCCAGTCTTGGAGGTGAAACAGAACCATGCCAGGCAAAAAAATTCCAGAACCTGGGTTCTCTCCTTTTTTGGTTTTCCGGTCTAAATTGTAGAGAGAGAAATAAGGTAAAAAATGGGCACTCCTTCCCTGTAGCATGTGAAAATGGGAGATAAAACAGGCGGTCCTCAGAGAAAACGGGATATAAAATGCACTCTTGGATGAAGTTCAAGAAAATGATTATAAATGGCGAGCTGCCTTGCTGTAGCGAGAGAAAATGGGACTCAAAGCAGACACTCCATGCATAGTGATGTGACCCGTTACAAAAATGGCCACAACTGAATGTGCTCCTACTTGAAATCAGGCCTGTAGGGACAGATTCAAGCACACCACCTCAAGGAAAACCAAATGGGAGAGAAGCCAAAAGGAAAAGACAGAGAGGAGGGACCCTAAAATAATGGTTGGTCAGTGAACATACAAGTGAGGGGGTGAGAAAAAGTCAGTTGGAATGCGTGCTAAGCTGGGATCGACCAATGTGAGAGAGTCTCGATGACGGAATGAGAGGGGCTTCTTCATCTACATTGACATTGACTCCCGAGCCATTATTCCCAGGGCCATTGCCACCATTATTGTTGTTTGGGTACAGATCCGATGACTTTTTATCCAGCTTCCATTCCTGATGGTTAAAAAAAAGAAGGGTTGCGTATTTAGGACCCAGTATATGGTGAAATTCAACTACACGAAAAAATAATAACAAGGGCTACTGAAAAAAATAGGAAGCCAGCACCATTTTGAAACATGTTACCGAAACAGCACTGGCTTTCAGAAAATCATCAATTTCCTAAACTGAAACATCCCTCCTCTCTCTCTCTCTCTCTCTCTCTCTCTCTCTCTCTCATGCTTACACACACACCCCATTCTCTTGGAAGGGGAACATTTTTACTCTTTACGTATGCATCTCTATGGCTCCTCTATCACTCCTGTGTGTGTGGCTCCTAATTTGTGTAAATACAAATAAATCTTCATTATATGCAGATTCCCGATCCATATGTGTTATTTCATCTTGTATCCACTATTCAAACCTTCAAACTATGGCTCCAACTAACATCACTATGACTTGCAAGCAACCAGATCAGGGCGGTCTGAAGTCCCTAGTCGGGTCAACTTAACCCAAAAACTCATTGAGTGTCTGAGTCATGAATCAGTGAAACCTTGGGTCTAGTACAAAGAAATTAATTAATCATCATAGCCTTTTCCCAACTATCATGAGTCCTAGAGTAATTCATTAATATGCTACAAAAAATATAGACCACCATAATAATAACATGGATAGAGATCAAAGGAAAATTAACAAAAGCATCACCAGCTTCAGGTCTTCGAGGAAATCTAGGTATGGATGTGCAGTTAAAATATGTTTCATCTAAGACGCAATTTGATTGAGGTAAACCATAAGCTTTTCAATGAAAATAGCATTCTATAGTTCAATAGACTATGGAAAGTTTCAGTCCATTGGGATCATCACATCAAATGAAACGGATGCTGATGGAGAGAGTGGGACACCAGAACAGGATATGGCCCCAATGGAGGTGCTCAAACTATCCATTTCTCAAGTGGTGATGACCCAATGGACGTCCATTGGACTGTAGTGTACTTTTCATCAATAAAAGAGCTGCATTTCCCACTAGTTTGTATCAACAGCTAGTATATGCCGTGTAATGTAGTAGTTGAAATTTCAAAGAGTGCAATCGTAATATTCAGACTCAAAGTTTCACAGAAGGGAAATGCTACCAAACCTATCAAATGCACAAAGGAGAAACTGTTGCATGACCAGAAACTGATGCTCCGAGTAATAACCTCAATAACATGGCTCAGCAAAAATAATTAAATAAGTAAACGTTATGCGAACAAAATAGCTGTAAGATTGAATCAGACCTTGCTTGTTCGTTCTGGGATAGTTTCAGTTGGAAGTTGATTTGAAGCACGAACATCCTTAACTTTCAAGTAGTTGTACATGACAACCCCACATAGAGCTGCCAAAAGCACAGTACCTCAAGATGAGAACATGGGAAACTCCGTGGCGAAAATTGACGTGTATAATACTCTTATGAAAAGGAAAATCAACAAGTAATAATACTTTTCTTCTACGGAAGAGTATTGTATACTCTATCGAACTACAGAATCCACAGTCCATTGGGGTGACGACCACTTAAAGAAATGATGGAACAGGGATGAAGAGAGACTACGACCCAACAATGGGCCATGTCATGTTCTGATGGGTTCCATTCTCTCCCCATCACAGTCCGTTATTTCAAAAGTTCCAGAACCCAATTGCCTGCAGTAATTTGCAGTTCAAGGGGCAATACATAGAAATAGTACACTTTCCTATAACATAATAACATGCAGAATTTCCAAAGGTAACTAAGCAAACAGAGAGGGAGAATACTACCAATTGCGTAGCCGATGATATTTAGTCCAGTAATAGCTGATTCTGGAAATATAATAGTTGAAAGGGCTATCAAAATCCAATCCTTTAAAACACCAGCAACCCGGATGGTGACAGCTCCAGTTCTTCCAATTACTAAAAATATTGAGAAATTCAATGCTAGAGCACAAAGAGCATTTGAGAAGAAAATCCAAAAATTGAACTGTATCTGTGAAACTTCCATTGCTGGCATCTCCAACAAATACCAAGGTACAAATAGAAACAGGAAGCTGCGAAGAAAAGACAAATAATGTGAGTCCCAATAAATAATGATAGAACCACTAAAACATCGTAGAGAAGTCTATTTGCAGGTATAATTGAAGATGAAGGAGAAACAAGCTTCCAAAATTATGATCCCAATCATCGACTGAGTAGCCGAGGAGCCATGATTCCAGAAATAAGAAGCTCAAGTTATTATTGTGTGAATGTGGAAATAATTAAGTGAAATGTCGACCCAATCCAAAATATAAGAACTATAACTGACACGTATTCTAGAATTAATGTGGAAATAAATAAGTGAATGTGGATCCACCCAAATGATTAGAACTAACGCTGATGTCCATCCTAGACTCCACAAAATTTCAGTATCAAATGTTTCATACATGATGCATACAGATTTTCCAGTTTCATGATCACGCGAACGAGAATAAGCGAATGTGAAAATAAATAAGTGAATGTGGATCCATCCAAATGATTAGAATTAAGGCTGATGTCCATCCTAGACTTCACAAAATTTCAGCATCAAATGTTTCATACATGGTGCATACAGATTTTCCAGTTTCATGATCATCCGAGCCTTATCCCAACTATTTGGGGTCAGCTTATAAGTAATTTAATGATAATGTTATTTTAAGCAAGAAACTGAACAGCAAGGCTAAAATTGAAACCCTTCTTTTACATTATCACTAGGGATGGCCACATCTCCAACCACAATCCAGGTGAAATCTGTCATATAGGTAAATATACTCACTCTACAGTACCAAAGTGAGCTCGGCACACCAACCAGAATCTACCTAACAAAGAAGCTGCTCGAACCATCAACCTAGAAAGCCGTGTAGTGCCTAGGATGCACTGATGGAGAGACCCAAAGAGAGGAGGTTTCATAAACTGCAGCTAATTAAAGGGGAATCCAATCTAATACCCACCAACAAGCCAACAAAGACGAAACCAAGAATCGGCAAAGCTATAATACATTTCTTCTTCTTTTTCTTTTAAATGGTCTCTCAGAACCCACGAAAAAGATTAGTCCAAGCAACCCAAATTTCAGATGCCATGCTCCAAAACTCTTGGCCTTTCATCCCAAAGCTTACCCCTGGGATCCTATATACTTACTAAGAACATGTATGGAGGCTTGTCTATTACAAGATCCATATATTTAACGAAATGGAGGTCCAAAGTTCAAATTTAGACATTGTAGAACATTAAAAACAGGAGCCTCAATGTGTTGAATGCATAAAACAGTCGGTTGAGCGCTTGAAGCCAATGAAAGAGTTGTACAATATCATGTTGTTCAAACTATTATATAATATTCAACTTCTATAATTGCAGTGAAACAATTTTCGTGGGAAGAAAACAAAACACTAAGACCTTAACATTTGTATCCTTCTTAAAATTGAAGACATCGGGAAGCTCAAAACACAAAATTGGAAGAAAAGTGAAAATCAAATCATGTTGTTAATAAAAGGGACATCCCATTTACATTTTGACACATAACTATTCTAAAAAATGGCCACGAAAACTGTTATGCCATCAGGGATCACACATGGTGCATACAAATCTCCACTACGGTGCTGCCAGGTAAACACAAGCATGAAAACATATATAAACATGATCGAGGATAATTAGAAAATTCAAAATTCAATGGTCGTAGAAACATTCATTCATTCAGCCATCACTTAGCATGATCTTTTTACCCACAATTTTTCCAAAGAAAAAAATTATAAATACAAAAACTTTCTTGCAGAAACAAATAAAAAGTAAACTAAAAAATTTGGACAGAGAGAATAATAATCCCAGATTCTCATGCCCAACCCAACTTACATCTATCATCCTATAAACAAGTAAGTTTGCATCCATAGGAAGCAGGAATATTTGCAACTGTATCAAATCAAACCATGTATCTATCTCCCCAAAAATCCCTTCTCCTCTCCATGGGACAATTAGAACAAATTACCATTCTAAACAAACTTCGCAGAAAACTTCCTTGTATGGAATACTAAGCTCTCAAAAATTAAATGAAGCACCATCATAGATAAGGAATCATTTTCTGAGCAGCCAGCTTTCATGAGGTTCAATCGCAGTTGAACTCAGAGTCTTATATAGACTTCCCCGGATACATTATCCTTTGCAGGGGAATTCCAACCATCGAACATAGTTGTACAAGTGGCTTTTAGTAACCACAGAAATAGAATACATGGAACTTATGCAGTATAGAGAAATTCTCCATAATCATGTTTACTTTCAATGCCACACAGTCACATTAATTTATAAAGGCACCATTCACTTTCTCCAAGGTTTCTTAATTCAGCTGTTTGATTCTCCTTTCAATATATGAGGTCTTAAAAGAAATACATGAAATCTCGACTTGAGTATAAAAACAAATTGAATACCTGCAAGGTGCTATATAATATAAACTAGTAATAGGATTCAGTGTCAAGCCTTTCTTTTGGAGGAGGACTTGAGTTAAGACCAGCCTAAGAGCTTCCGCAAATATACCAGTAACCTGATAAAGTGTCCCAACTACATTAAAATGGATCTCCCCGTATGAAGAAATGACAACTCCTACACTGACCAGCACCATGTTCAAGAACACGTCACACCTTAGTGTGTCAGTGCCGCAAACAACAGCCATCAGAAAGGTTGCAACTGGCACTGCAACAAAAGTAATATTGACAAAGATAAGAACAAGACCTATTTGCATAATCTTGTAGAGAAGTCCATGTATAATTGAAACAACAAAAGACATATGATAAAATGGATTCACTTACTAAGGGCTTTAAGCATTTGAATAAAAGCCACGGAAATATGCAAATACGCAGTATTACCAAACCTATATAATCAACAAATCATAAGTTCAGCAAATGACAATAAACAAAAGGAACAACAAGTTTAGTTACATTTGACAAGTAACCTACCAAAGGCTCGCCGCAAAGAAAGCACTGATGGGGAGGACATATGTTGTATATCTGCAAAGCAAACAATAGTATCAGGAGAAAAGAGTTTTATTAGCTGAAAATGCAGAAGGATTGTGTGATGCATCCAATGGCCTTACATTACAAATGTCATCTTGACGGGTGCTACAACCTGCAAGATTGAAAATTATTAAAAATCATAGACAAGTACACAAATGAAAACTTCCAAATCCCAAAGAACAACACTCAGAAGTATTTCTTTCATTCTCATAAAAAAAGACAGTCATAAGTATTTCCTTTTGCAAGTACCTATGTCATTAATAAAAGATGAAAAAAGATACGACCAAAGAATAATTAAAGGTAAACAAAGAGGGAGAATCAAACTACTCCGTCAGGCACTCAGTCCCATATTGCATACTCCAACATTGGCATGATTGTCAACCCCAACAGATATCTTCCTACCTTGTTTTGGAAGTTAAAAATCTCCCTTCATATGAGTATGTCAGAAGACACCATCAAAAAGACAATCAGAGATAACTAACTTCATCCAAGCCGCTAACCAGACATGAGGAGCATTGGCAGAACCCTTAGGCCAAGGACCAATGTTCTGGAAATCTGCCTAAACATTACATGGAATCTAAGGCAAGTATATCTAGATCCACTAAAAACCAACTAAGGTTCATAAGCAACTATAGAGTCAACATTCAAGTAGGACATTAAAAAACTGAAATCCCCAATGTTGCATGCTATAACACTTACTAAAGACTCCTTAATCACTGTCTCGTACAGAGGAGGACACCTCCAGATCATAACAGCCAATGCGACCACCCAACTCATGGGTTTTTGTAAAATTTATAATATTATGAATATATATAGTCACATATTTCAAAAAAAAACACGACCAGAAGTCATCCCCGCTATTGCATATCATGGATGAGTCCCTAATGGTTCAGTCCTCCATTCATATTAAGTTGTCCTCTACACCATCTTGGACAAACATAGGGCTCCAAAATGGATATCAAAGTATACAGCCCCCACCAACTAAAACCATGCAGACATCCACACTTCTTTATTAGAGGCCACAACCCACAATTCCACAAAGCATTTCCAAGTCAAAACACGCCTCACTACCTGTTTCTTTAGAACTGATGAAATGATATACCTTGAGGAAACAAATCACCTTGCCAAATTCCTAGGATGCTAAGAACACCATATCCTGAGTTCGCAATCAATCCCATCCTTTTCCAGATCCTTCCTCCAAAAGTCAGCACTAAGTCACAAACAGCCCCATAAAGCACAATTGAAGACTTCATCAGATATCATCATGTTGACTACTAAAAGGGAACCACTTAAAATTTATCCAATTCCAGAACCTACCTTAATCAAGCTAAATAATCTCAATTAGATTAATTCACAACATCCTAACAAGATACAACAAGCATTTCCTTGAGATCTCCGTCTTGAAAGGTCATCGCAGGTAGGCAGCAAGAAACAATCCCACCAAAAAAGTCCAAAACGAATCGAGATAAATTTCTGATCATCTGTATTTTCCAAAACAAATGGTTCACAAACACATCATATAGTTGCTTGTATTTGCAATTATTCTGAATGTATAGTATTTGTTTGTAAATTTATCACACATAAATGTGCAAGTATCTATGTATACCTATGCACTATCTATGAATGAACTTCCATACATGCATTTGTGCATGTAAATCATGTCCATATACATACCAATAAGTAAAGCACGGCAATCTATAAAATGTGGGTGTGGATGCGTGTACTGGAACATACACCCACTCCATTCTCAATCACATGCATGCACGCACAAGTGCCATCCATGTACACCATGCATGCATGTTCTCTCTCTCTCTCTCTCAGGGAGACACGCACAAACATGAGTGCCTATGCACGCATGCAGAAATGAAAACACTAAAACAAGAATTTGTGTATATGCACATGCATGCACAACCATGGGCATATCCACAAAGCATGCCTACTTACAAACGTATCCGCATACTTATAAGTGTGGATACATATGCATGGGTACATGCACACATAAAAGCTTGTGAGAAGCTCTCCAAGTAAGCTTCCAGAGAATTAAAGTTCAACTCCCCAAAACCCAAAGGGGAACGAAAGCAATTGCCTAAGCAGTGATTTGTTCAAAAAAGAACGACAAGGTGGGCTACCCTTTTCCAAAGTAAGCCAGTTCTGAAACCACAGCTAGAGGTGGACAAATAATAGTACTTCCATAAGTAAGAGATATAAAAGCAAGCACATTATTGTAAGCACAATATTTTGGAAGCTAATTATGTCGCTATCCTACAAACTATTTAAACAACTGGACTAAGTGGGTTTCGCCAAAAGGACTCCAATGATCTATAAGGATTTCTTTTATCAGTTCCCATGACGCATGAGGGTCTAATAAACCCTAAATGTTGAACTACAATAATTTTACAATTGTTCATGTACTGATTTTGTATAAGTATGATCTAGTCTAACCACACTGTACATCAGAAATTGATAGGTTCAATTACTCAGGCATTTTCACCTTGTTCTGTTGCAAAAACCATGTCAACCTAGAGTTTCTTCTGTCCACATCTTATCCAACTACTGCAAATAGTTAAGGACTGCATACGTGAAAAATGGATGACAGACCCAAACATTGTTTCCACAAGAAATGTGAGTGTGAATTAACTATCCACAAGATGACTTCCATTCGACTAGAATCAAAACATCTCAATTAATAAAAAAATATTAATCAAAAAAGCATACGTAAAACACATATAGAAATTTATAAGTGATTTAATTTATTCATTGAAAATTATCTTGAGCTTCCCATATGCTCTGGAAAGTGGAATAAGCAAAACGTTTAAGGAGGATAGTTCAATAAAAGAGCCAAATTGCTCCCTTGGAGGGGCAGACACTTTGACTAAGGCCATTTTAAGATATTGTGGTGTATTAAATGCCCCTCGCCTAGATTCCAGAAGGGATGGTCAAGAGAGGGAGGCTTCAAAGGGAACTCCCATGGAGCAAAGGATATATAAAGCTCAACTTTGACAGCAGTTCCCAAGTAAATTCAAGATCACCCAGGGTGGTAGTTAATTAAAAATAGCCTCAACGAACTCCTGAAACCTCTGCAGGGCCTATGGATATTTGGGCTTCATCAGAAGTAGAACAGAAATCTAGTACTAGGTCTGTTTTTTTTCCTGAGAACCCAAATGGCAGGAGATTCAGTTATATATTGGCACTTGACGAACTACCCTTAAATAATAGCCAATTTCATGGATGAATAATTCAAGAGAGGAGGGGAAGGGGGGTTTCTTTCTTTTTCTCCCATGCTTAGCAAAGCCAAGGGTGAGAGGAAAGCCCTTGCCTGGGAAGGAGTAGGGAATGATTCTCTCAATGTTGGGATCCTACTCATCTTCACTACTTTTTTGCTCGTTATTCCTTTTCCCTATGGCTCCTACTACTTAGACCTTCCGCTTTATTTTTGCTCCTTTTGCTGTTTTTAAATGTTATGTCCAGTTATCCGCTCCATCGTATCAGTTGTCTATAAAACACAATGTTTCTCAAATAAATAAAACTGCCAGCCTCAGAATGGCATCACATACAACCAAATCTCAAGAAATAAATATGTGCATATTTTGTCATTTGAGAAACCCACAATCCATATGCTCTAACTATACATAAATCTGAAGCTTCAAATTCTTTCGTATATCACTAACTAAATATAAGTGTCATCCTTGAACATTAAAATGACTTCTTTTCTTTAAGGACTACATATGACTGCCTCATAAGAGGAAGAAACCAAAAAGAAGTAATAACACTATTGAACAAACAGCCAGATGCACAAAGAGTACCTTGAAAACATGAATAAGAACGAATGCGACTACACCAGAAAAACCCATGTGAATCATGGTCAGCGTTATAGGAAACGGAAACTTGAAATATTTTGGAGATAGCACCCACTGCAAGAAAAGAATAAAGCATTCCTTAACAAAACGAATTAACTATTTAAGCATCATTCGTAGGAGACATATAGCAATGTACATAGTCAATTGAATCTAATATCATCACAATTTAAGAAAAGAAGCCATAGGGAATTAAATAAGTAAGAACTATTGTTTCACTATTTCTTAAACTATAAACATGATAAACAAATGTATTGAACCAAAAGTCTACAACAATACTTATGTTTCTTTGAAGTTAATTTTTACGAACAAATCTAAATTCTCAACATCCTAAATAGAAACAGCTATAAAGCATAAAGAAATGTAGAAAATAACAATAATATGTTGAAAAAAAGAGAAAAAGATACCACAATTATCAAATGGGGCAAACAATAAGAACACCTCAATCAATGCAAAATTCTAAAGTTTCTAAGACAATAATTCTACAAACTTCAAAACTAAATTAGGTATTACATCAAAGAAAGAGAAACAACACAATTGGAAAATCCCTATTTCTAAACAAAAGTAAATAGTAATCCACAGTAGGGTTGTTGGTTGCAATCGAAGTTATTACTTTAACCAGGCCCTAACCTCCTAATAGAATCATACAAAAAGATATTGAGACCCATTCATGTGAATATTTTTTTTGAGAAACTTTACTATAATTCCATTACTGAATAATAGGTTACAAAAAATGAGGTGACCGCGAAAGGGCACCTATACAAAACCCCGTAGGGTCCAAAAATGCATGACCCCATTCACGTGAATATTAGAAGGACTAAAAGTAAAACAGAAAGTTAAGTGGACCACGAGGAATTCATCTTTGCCACAATGAAAGCGACGAATCATCCAAAGCTCGCGACAAAACATTTGTGAAGGAGAAGACAAAGCCAGAAATATTGTATCACAGGTCAGAGCACAATATATATTGCCACGAGAAAGAGGACTCCATCCGAAAAGAAAGGTACTGGAACAAACCTCCAAGGCATCAAACTATATATTATTGACAGTAAACTGGTAGTGGCAGGACATCTGAGCATCAAACTATACAACAGACAGTTCCAGTAAGAAAATGAATCCCCTTATCAGTTGGCCACCATTTAGATAAAGTTTTATTACATCTAGATAAGAGTCAAAAGGAGCAAATGTGGAAAGAAGTCAGCAAATAGCCAAGAAACTTTAGGGAGAAACCAGGTAAGGTTCTAGTCTTGGAGTGATGTTCCAGAAGGCAATGCATAATTTTATTGTAAGAACTATTTGTTACCACTTGTATTCAATTAAAAATGAAGTCATGTTTCTTCCCACAGCACATCCAGCAATGCATAATTTTATTGTAAGAACTATTTGTTACCACTTGTATTCAATTAAAAATGAAGTCATGTTTCCTCCCCCAGCACATCCAGTGCTAAATAACCCACTATGGAATCATATCGCATGTGTGCAACCACAATGGTGTTCCATGTATTTGAGTGATAGACCCAGTGAAGGTAACACAGCATAAAAGACATCAAAGCCTTTTCCCAACTAATTGGGGTCGGCATTGCCGGTCCATGCCTCAAAGCCTTATATCAATAGGCTAAGCACCAAGCTCCTAACCATCATGAGACACTTGAGTATTCATGCAGTTCCAATATCTGGGGATCCTGAACAGCTCGAACGCATCAACTGGGTCAATCTATCCCAGCAGTATATGACCTCTGTAAGCAAAGCATCTGGCATCCTCTACCATGGAATAACTCCATTCCCTAATAGCAATTACCTCTATACGAGCAACCTCCAACTCCTTCTAGCTCGCCACAAATCATGTGAAAATGTCGATCTAGAACCTTTCCAACTAAATCCATCATTCTATAAAGGGAAAAGTTTATATAGAGCCTAGGCTCTAAACAATCAAATTAGAGCCTACCTCAAAACTTTTACTAGAAGAGGTTGTTTTGATGCCCAAATATCATCAAATTGATCACCTCGATATCAAGATGCATGGACATGAGAAAAAAATGGATTTCAAGTTTTGGAAATAGTGCATTTGTAATGCATTTTTTGACCGTCAATTTTAAAGATTTTCAAATTTTCATAAATCTGCTTGATCTACACTATTTTTTAAGCTTTAAATTTTATAACTAAAGATGAAAATATAATTTAAGGCTATCACAAAACTTTCCAATATTGAAACTATATTTCTTGACACTATTTGAAGGTGGGCTCTAATTTGATTGCTTAGAGCCTCAGCTCTAAACAAACCGCACCCTTCTATAAATATCTTCTCAAAAGAATGCCATATATTTTCCCTCTACCTCAGCTATCCCGAAGAGAGAGAGAGAGAGAGAGAGAGAGA